TTCTCATTTCGCCCATCAAGCCTAAACTACATCTCAATCGACATCAACTAGGCAGGCAAGCAATGGAGACTTTACTAGTACGACGCGGAGCGTCGAATATGTGTGACAAAATTGAGGCGAATTTTATAAGGAATTTGTTAGCTTTCTGCCTTGTAATAAAGTTTAAGTGTAGCGGTCATGCGTATAAACAGATAGCGGATATACCAAAGGGACCGCCGATCACAGTACTATTAACCGAAGAAGTGGCGCAACCACTAGAAGAAACCGCATTCTCGGTTACTGAGCCGAACCTCCGGATACACTATGCAGGCAACACCTTTGTCATTCTTGTGTTCAAACCTGAAATACACTACTAAAAATAATCACTTCTGCCAGTATCCCATTCACAGAAAAAGCGGCGAACAATGGTCTGTTACCATTCTTGGCTGTTTGTTTGCAATGAGAATTAGCTTGGGCAGCGAGACCACGTTATATCGGATACTAATGCTTACAGACAAAAGCGGGAATTGTTGTAACAATCACCCTAAGGTACACAAACGTAGCTGTGTAACACCAAATTGCAGCGAGCGATAGCGGTGGAAGCCAGAGGAAAGATTTCTATGTGCTGATAAAAAATGTATATTTTAAGGCCCCGTTCCATTGTTTGGCGTCGGAAAAGCGGCCGCCATCACTGACGACAACCGAAATGCATAAGAAGACGACTATTCACCCAAATAGCAAATTAATAACTCAGACGCGGCCAGACTCTTACTGCCATTCGGAATGAAACTGCTCAGACAACAACTTAAACGATTCGGAACCAGCTTTCTAATTCTAAGGAAAAAGCAACAAACATAAAACAAGCAGTACGATTTACTGAAGGCTATGCAAACACTGGGACAAATACTACTTAGGCCAGCCTAGAAGGGAGCATGGGACCAGCTTGGCCATCTGCCCACATAAGTATAACTTAACAATTTCGGCGCACCTAAAGGTTGGAAACTTCAAGTTGATCGGTTAAATGTCCCGATAACAGGAAGATGAAAAATATAGAAAAAGAGCAAGTTAATCTATGCTTGGTACTCAGGGGAGAACTCAATCAATAAACTAGGATTCAAAGACCCTCTACGATTCTTGCGAGTCAAACTAATAATTCGGCTCAGATCAGCGTGAAAATGGAATCGTCATTTGGTAAGTTGGAGAGCAAGCCTTGCTAACTTATTGAATATGGAAGCTTCTGGAGCATTATCGTCATGTTCGTGAAGTTGCACAGATGGTGTTACCTAGCTGGGTGACGGAACGTCTTTCCTTGACTTCAGAGCCCGAATCTAGGGTGAACTAACGTGTCACACCAACGGTGATGCATTGAAAACACAATGCAAACCGCTGACGCCCATACGGAGGGTTCCCCACACTGATACCAAGTTAAACCCCAGATAAGTTGAACACGTAGCACTTAGCTGCGTATTCGGAGCCTATTAAATGGAATAGGCGCATCCTCCTTAAATGGAACATGCAGGTTTTTACTTATAACGAGCAAGAAGTTATTGATGGCACATTTGTGTTATGTAAAGAAACAGGCAAAAGCCTGGCGCTATCTTCCTTATTTCTCGTTCTTTGCCCATAAATTTGATGCTAGAAGCAAGAAAAGAAAGTGTACAATGCGAAAATCAATAACTAAGAATGTCGCTTATTAATTGTAGATCATGCACAGCTGAGAATATATTATTGTAAGTTGCTGCTTTCTCATGCTGCGAAAGACAAACAGTGATATGTGAGTTATTCGTGCTCACGCTATGTTGGGCTTCATCTGTGTTTATATGTGGCGCCTGCATCGGGTGAGATCCTCGTATGGAAAGTAGCCAGTTCGATTGGATAATCCAATGCTGTTCTACTCAAGACAAGACAGAAATTTACTGATACACAAATGGGTCTCGAAATTTTATTTGCGTTTCAAATGATTTCCAAGGACATTTTACCAGAATCGGTCACTCAAACACAATTGCGGAACGTGCTTCGAACGGTCACAAAAATGTGTCCTCTTGCGTTATTCGCCTTTTAACCTTCGGATTTATTCTCACAGAGACTTAGGTGCTATCATTCGATTTGGCTCCGCGACCTCCTCCCAGTGGTGCATTCTAAACAGCCCAAATTGCCGGCAAATACTATAAAGCCAACGCTCGCTAGACAAAACTACGCTTCGTTAACTCTCGTGTGCACCAATGTTCCCGAGTCCAAATCTAGCACAATAAAAGGTAAGTTGCAAGGCAACGGCAACCATTGGAGTTCTATCTGCGAGGCGAATGGTATTCGGGTTGGGCCTAATGTGTTGCAACTCGTAGCACTTCACCCGACCTCAGTGCACTCTGGTGAACCTCGAATGCCTCGAGTAACACTAGACTCAGCAGAGGCGACAGAGCCTGTCCTGCTCTCCGTAGCTCGTCTACGCTACTCACCGAGCGGAGTGCGCATTGTACCCGGTCTTCCTTGGAAAGACGGCCCAAAAGAAGCAGTCGACCAACCTGGCATTCCTAATAGCGATAGCCATAAAACAATAGTTGTTCATGGTGTTCCCGAGCTTGTGCACTCATCTGGTCACGATGCGCAAACACATGCCTGAGAACACTGGTGCTACATCCGGGAAGCACACTCTGTTGGCAATGTTATTACCAAATCCTTGACAAGACTTCCGTCATCACCTAACTACAAGGGCTTCGGTCCAAAATTAATGAAAGCAATATTACACTCTGAAAGATTGGCGCAAGTTCTGTTGGATACCTGGTGAAGTTTCGAGCCAGGTTGCCAACAGAGATCCGGCTGAAGGTAGCAGGCGAACGGCAAAGAGACGTAAGCAATTCGATGGAACTTGCAAATGCTGCAAATTCATTATCTGCACAGTCCTGCGGAGAGACCGACGCAACAGCACCCACGGTACTTAACAGGACAGAACACAGCACGAGTGAAACATATGTTCAACTGCACTCAATAATGCCATGCAACTTGGTTGAAATTCATGAAGAAAAAGACGATTTATTGCCGGCGACCTAACGGCCGGCTTAAAAACTAACGCAAAGTTGACATCCATCAAAACACTCCTAACAACAAAAGCCCTAACTCGCAAGTGTACAAATGCCCAAGGCCTTCTAAGTAAGTTCGCCCAACTTAGAGAACTCCATGCCTCACAATCGCGGGACCTGGTCATGGTTACAGAGACCTGGTTAAACCTAGTAATAACCGATTCTGAGATAAATTTACCCGGTATGTCGCTGTTTCGGAACGATAGAATCGAAAGGGGTGGTGGCGTGATTCTTTATTATAATACAAACCTCCGATATGAAGTTATCTATCACACGGAAATCCGCGATCCTGATTCGCTTTGGTGCCGCCTATGGTTGCTAAACAAGGACGCAAGTCTACTAGCCGTGATATACCGCACACCAAACTCAACCTCGGAAATGGACTCCAAACTGAACCAGGTCTTTCATTTTATGTTGCAAAAGTCCTGGGCCAACGTTCTTATCGTTGGAGACTTTAAGTTGCATGACATAGAAACGCCAGCAACCGACTGTACGCAGTTTAAAGCCTACTTGCAAGAGCTAATTGTTAGCGACGCTCTGTACAACCACGTAACCTATCCTACCAGGTTTCGGACTGCTAATAAGCCATCGATACTGGATCTTGTGCTCAGTAACGAAGACCTCATGGTTGACGGGATGGTTAAAAACACAGCACTGGGTCGTAGTGACCATGATATGCTACTGTTTGACTATATATATTATGTGGATTATCCTGAAAAGGAGGATGATACAGTGCATCCTATCACGCAATATAATGTGCTTTTAAGCTTGATAAGGATACTTCTTGGAGTTTCTTAACCGAATTCCCTCAGATGTTGACTGCGAGACCTCTACAAAGATGTTTAGCACACTGTTAACGCAAACACCCAAACAAAAGTCCGTCCAACCCAAGAACAAACGTAATTCATTTCTGAGAAGCAGAAGACGTAAATGTATGTCACGGATGGATTTGGCATGGCGACATCACCAAGACCGCTCTAATACCGAAACCTGGACTGCGTACATGACACATCGTAACTTCTGTGTGAAACTGATCCGCAAAGAAAAGGTCTTGCATCGGCAGAAGCTTATAAAACGATTCGGTTCGAACCGCAAACTTCTATACAGGCACTTTAAGGGCCTTCAAATGGTGAACCGGAGGATTACGGCACTAGTCACGGCTGATGGGTGCACTCGATCAGCAATGGGAGCAGCTGATTTCCTACGGCCTCATGACTCCCAAACTTTTCAGCTGGTAACAAGCCCAAACATTCCCCTCGTTTCTATTACTTCACCGTCGGGTTTAGACAACATCACCTTCACTGCGGAAGCTGTTTTGAAGTTGTCATCCTTGCGTATCTATAGTTCTCATGGAGTCGACCACCTCCGACCAAAGCCTCTGCTGGCAGTAGCTAGTGATCTCGCAGTACCACTGGCTGTTTTCTATCAGCGATGTCTAAAAGAGAAACATATTCAACCAGTATGGAAGCGAGGTGTTATCACACCTATCCACATAGGAGGTAGCCGCACTGATCCTATTAACTACGCTCTAATAGCACCACATCCAGTACTATCCATAGTGATGGAATCAATCATCGCAGATGCGCTGAAGCAGTATCTGGAAAGCCAAAACTTAGTAACCCCGGAGCAACATGTTTTCGTCAAAAGCCTTCATGTAAGACTAACCTACTAATTGTACGTAATAGCTGGACTGGATCCGTTGATGATGGAGCAGGAATCGATGTCATCTACCTGGGCTTCTCAAAAATGTTTGATCGCTTGGATCATCGAATTCTCCTTCAAAAGCTTTGGAACTACGGCATTGGCAACCCAATCTTGAGTTGGATTAGCAATTTTCTACACGAACGACGGCTAGCGGTGAGAGTCCGAGAATAACTGTCGGGTACAATCGATGTGTTGTGTGGTGTACTATAAGGATCGGTGCTTGTACCTCGTCTATTCTTGATGTTCAGTGACGATTTGGCAAGATCAATTGCTTCCTGTTTTGCGCTGAAGATATCAAGATACAGAGAAGGATTAGAGGACCGGACGACTACGAACGGTTCCAGTGCGATCGTAACACTGTCGAACTGCTCAATTCAAAACGCTGTACCATGCAACGAAGACAAATGTCGCGTTGCGCAACTGCGTCATAGACATAACTACACATATTTGCTTGGAACAAACGGATTGAAGACCAGCTCCCATGAATGTGACCTTGGTGTGAACCTACAGTGTGACCTAAACTGTTCGGTACAGGCCGAGGTAGCTGCGAAATGAGGCAACCAGCACGTCGTCATGCTGCGAAGAGCGTTCGGGGGAATCGACCCATCAATCTACCCAATGGTGCGCAATTCGTACGTGCGGCCGCATTTTGAATACGCTATCCAAGTTTGGCATTCTTGGTTGAAGCCCTACCA